CCAACCCAGACTAATCCACAGCCATCCCCAACCCATCCTTACCCCAACTACAGCCCCAAACCCAACCCAGAGCCATTCCCAAACCCATCCCCAAGCCAAAATCAATACCATCCCCTCCCTAATCTCCTCTCCTGCCCCTAGTTCAGTCTCGTCCCCAACTCCATCCCTGTCTCCAATCCCAACCCTACCCCCAATCTCTCCTCAGCTGCAGTCCATGACCTCCTTCAAATCATCCCCATCTAAACTCCTCTCTAGCCCTGGCCACATCCCCATCCTCCCCAACCTCCAGCCCCAACACCCATCATCCCCCTGAGCTCACCCTTAACTCCAGTTTCTCCTCCAATCCCATCTCTCACCATCCAGCCCTCACCTAGCCACTTCCCAACCCTAGTCCCCCACCATCCCAAAGCCAACTTCACCCATGTCCCCATCCCCAATCACCCTTGTCCCCATTCCTGACTCCAAATGCAACCCCTAAGCCTCCCCAAGCCCCTCCTCATCTAACCTTGTCTCCAGCCCCAACCACATGGCCATCCTCACCTCCAATCCGTAACCATCCCAGACTGATCCTAAAACCAACTCCAGCTCCATTCCCATCTCCAACCCCAATAGCATCTGCATCCCCGTGCCCAAGCCTAACCCCAGTGCCATTACCAGCCCCTACCCTATCCCCATGCCACCCCCACCCAGCACACCCCCATCTTCACCTCCATCCCCAGCCGCATCCTAGCCCCACCCACCCCCATCCTCAGTTCCTCCCCCTGCCGTGTGCACCTCCAACACGACGCCTCCGCCCGATGCCTCTTCCCCCCAGGCCACCAGGGGAGCCAGAGCTGAGCCACTCAGGGTCGGAGAGGCCAGAGCAGACCGGCCTTCTCATGGGAGGTGCCTCCGGAGGAGCCAGGGGTGGCAGCGGGGGCTTCAGAGACGAGGTGGGTGAGGGCCTGGGCACCCTGGTGAGAGAGACCTGCTGGGCAGTGGAGCACGCCCGTGGGCACAGGCTGACCTCTCCATCCACTCCCCAGTGCTGAGCCAAGAACCTCCTAGAGGCTGTCCCTGGACCTGGAGCTGCAGGCATCAGAGAACCAGCCTTGCTCACGCCGCAACCACCCCCGCCTTCCCTCTTCCCTCTCCCTGCCCAGCCCTCCCTTCCTGCCTCTGCCGGC